TTTTTGTACTGCCGGACTCCATTTTTCATAAAAAATATATTTATAGTCTCAAAAATGACATTTAATGGACATAAAAATGAGATGTATCACATTCTCAATCTAATTTTCATGCATATAATGTGTATATATTTATATAAAAAAAAATACACATATTTTAATGCATAAAAAATAAGCACGAAAAAATCCAAATCGGCTCTGATATCAATGTAAATCATAAAGCATTATAAATTAACGCAGCGGATAAAAATAATTCGGATCATACCTTAATGGCACAACCTCGTGGGTAAATCACGTGCTTCCAAAATCTGATCAGTCAACCCAGCAGTGGAGTGATACTACAAAATGAGTATCACCCACACAAGTCACCGTGCAAAATGGCTTGATCGTTGTTTTCTGGGAGAGAGTCAAAGAGAGAGTATGGGAAAAAAGGTTATGGGTAAAAACCACATAACGTAATATCTGATATACGTATATATTTAGATTAACCATATAATTTGATATATAACCAATATGTATCTATCCATCTATCCATATCTATTGATATGATAGATATAGATATTCTGAATGGTTATCCAAATAAGTTTTGAATTCAAATTTAAACTTACATGAATAAGATTCAAAAGATTCAAATTCAAAAATTTTAAGGATCATGTTATATAGGCGCCCAATTTCTAACCTCGACAAATAATCCAAAACGCCTGAGGACCATGCTAATCATAGAAGCAAGCAGCATACAAATAGCACAAGTGCAAATCCATTTTGGATGATCATCGGTGAAAAATGGCAAATTCCAACATTCCACTGCATAAAATCTGACAAAGTTCAAGTTTTCTGTGAAACCAGCTGTGACTTTTTCTTTTTCCTTTTTTAAATTTTTTTTCTTATTTATTTATTGTGTTTTTTTTTTTTTGGGTGGGGGGTGGTGAAAGCTCTTTTCCCGGTACGCAACTACTGTTTACACACGAGAAAAAGAAGACGAAAGAAAAAAAAATTAAGTGTGTGGTTTAATTGCACGAAATCCAAGTCTAGTATTAAATATGAACACTTTCACTTCACTGATTGTGTTATTTGCCGTCTCATGATCCATCCATTTCAACATCCACATTTGTGGAAATCAAGTTTCTCCACTATTGGGCAATCTATACCATCTGACATAAAAGACTTCTATAATCACATTGTTGAATGTTCTCAAAAACAGGACACATTTGACTTCATCTAATCCTTATCTAATTCTATGAGAAACTTCACTCTTATTCTGTCCCTTCTTAAATTGATCCAAGACAATAGAAACTTCACTCTTTTGGTATCTCCTAGCCAAGGATCTTAATTGTGCCCATAACCTTATCAGATCGATGATCCAAAGGCATTTGTTAGGCCCAGCATTTCACCTGACATACTTCATAGTCCTAAGATAAAAGCTTTCCATATCAGTGCAAATAGTGTCTCCAAGAACAGAATATTCTAGGTCTTCTAGGGGCATCAGTTCATCCTATTTCTACATAGTATTAATTGTGCACAAAAGCTAAACATACAATTAAAGACTCATATGCATTCTAGTTGACATAACACAAGGCATGTACCACAGGGCTTCATCAACAACAATTATCACAGTTGTTCATTGTTAAGGCCATCATGGGGTTCTCTTAAATCAAAGGTAATAAAATCTCAAGGCTTTCTCAATCACTCTGGCTGGGAGCCACAATCGACCAATTTTCACTCTCACATGATCTTAGGGCACTAATGGGAACTTTGCTCTGCATAGCAACACATGTCAAGTTATAATATTTGGACCGTATATGCTGCTTAAGACATTTGACATAGGCATGAGGAGCATGATAAACCTTATTGACTTGTTTTGGGCCTTATATGAGCCTCAACCCCTTTTAGGCCTAAGCATGATTACATTGAGCTGGCTTGAATATGCGTATTAGGCTTAAACACAACTTCATTCACCTCTTTTTGCAAAAAAAAAGAAAAAGAAAAAAAGGTACTACTTCATTCATATTAGCAATCGAAGAAGATCCTATCGCTTAGCCTAGTTGGAAAGCAAAAGACACATCCCGTGACATGATTATGCTTGTATATTGCTGCGCTTATATGACAAAAGTGCAAAATCATAATGGGTAGCCTAGAGGGGTAGTGAAAGCCTCAATGATAAATTTTCCAGCAAATTAAGTTGTTACCATCCACCACCAACCATATACACACTGATACAACTCTCAGCACGTGCCACCCCTACCCAAAGTCCTAAGAAGATGAAAGCAAAAGAATCCAGATTTCGAAATTTCAAGTCCTCTTAGAAATTGAAATTACAAAGATGAGAAAAACAACAAAGCAATTTCTTCAGCATGTAAATTACTTCAATAAATAAACTAACTAATACAGTATACAGAAAAAGAAAACTGGCTACATGACGGACAAAACCAACAACCATGGATCATCAAATCAATACCATTATTCTCCACCTTCCATTGTTCTCTACTTCACATAGAGAAAGATCAACCGCACCTATATTAATCATTTTTAAAAGGAAGATAACTATAAAGGTTCCAAATTACAACTAATAAACAGTTACTAAGAGGCTCTTTGATTATTAGGTAAAGCCAGCATAACTATGACATTATTTTCTCACTAAATTATTATCAAATCGATCTGGTCTGAATTTGAGCCCCTTTTCTTCATCAACAGCTACAAATCCTCAATTACATTACTAGTTACAATCAATTCACACTCCAAATTTTGTTCATACACCTGTCCATGCCCAAAACAATTTTAATTAAAATCATCTACCAAAATGCAAATATCAAAACGAATCAAGTTATAGGCATTGCATTCTCATTCTTGTATGAGAAGCCCAATTCGGGCCCAATGGTCCAGAAACTATAGAAGGTGTAAAGGCCCAAAATGTTTAAAGGGCCAACCCATGAAACAATCTAGTTAAAGTAATTATCTGGTTTTACAGAAGAATAATTTTATACATTAACAATTTTATTTAAAATCTTACTAAAAGTATAAGAGGCCAAACGCGATTGGTTATAAAAAAAACAAATTTGAACAGGTATGTTTGTAGTAAAATTATTAGCAAGACTTTAAGTAAATATAGCATTGCTCAAAACTATACCCCTCGAGTTAGGATCAGAAAGTAAAAATAAACTAGGCCAACCAAAAGAATGGTTTGCTAAATTTATAAAAAGGATAAATTTTGATGCAAAAGTTGGATAGATCTATTAAAATTTGATCAAAGAACAGGAAATGTAGCACAAAACTTTCCGTACCAAAAAAACATGAAATTGTATGTAAACTTATTTGATTCTTATCACTTCAAAATCAAAGAATCAAACTCAAATTCAACAATTGAGTGTTATCCCAACTGATTAGAAAAGGAATGCATTCTATTTGACAATCTATTTGCCTAATACTTTTTTTTAAAACAATCTCAGCCTACAAAGTTGGGCCAGACAACTCATGTGAAATACACCTTGATTTTTGGGCCAACAGAGACGTAGGGCTCTTTTAGGAGGTGAGTTAATAATCATTTTTCAATTTTTAATTTATTTTGAGCTATATCATCTCTCATAATTTTTTTATATATTTTTTAAAAAAATTAATTTTTAACCATTTTTTTAAAATAACTTGGAAAAAAACAAAAATTCAACCTACAAAAATACATGGCAGTGCCCTTATTCTAGGCTGTCCAACTATATGGCAGACTTGAGCTTTTATGGCTTATGGTCCAAAACTATACATTTTGATTAGTAACTATTTTGTATGTGGGTCCCACCTTGGCATTACGTTGACAATTTAGTTTATCAGAAAAATTGGGGTTGTTTGGTTTGTATTTCTCAAAAAATTTTAAAAAATTTTTCTACAAATAAGTTTTCAAAAGTAATCAAATCAAACAAATTTTCTCAAATTTTTTTTCTAAAACTTTTTTGGTTTACAAATTTTCCAAACAAATCACTCTCTCATACACATCAAATCAATCACTTTTTCCAAAACTCTCTCTCAAAATAATTTTTCAAAACATCTTTTGAAAAAAAGTCAAACCAAACAAATTTTCGTACTTTTTATCTCAAAACATGTTTCTCAAATACAAACCAAACAAGGCCTGAATGTCGACTAAACCCAGAATTATTGTTCATAAATCTATTAACAAAATAAATATAAGATAGGATTTAGTTGGTATTTTGTGAATTTATATTATTTATAAAATAAAATTCTAAATAAATTTTTAAAATTTATAATATTATTGCCAAAAAAATCAGAGAAACTATATTATAGGAATTTCTATCAGCACAATAAAATTATCAAAAATTCATTAAAAAAAAAATGTATACTCCAAAATAGGTTAATTTTATTACTCCAACCACTAGGTTGGCTCATGTATCTCACAAAAGAGAGAATTGACTAGATTCTTTAATCTCTCATCAATGTATTTGGAAATAAAAAAATAAAAAATTTAAAAGTAGTTGTAGTGGGTTCTACCGTCGGTCATGGTTTTTTTAATTAATTTTTGTTACTATGTGTAAATCGTTGATAAAAAATTAAATTAATTTAATAATTAAAGTTATATATTTTGTTATATCTATTTTTAAAATTATAATTGTTGTTCATTAATTTGAAAATAAATGTAATAAAATCAGTTAGTTATAATTGTGTAGTTAATACGATTTTCTTATAAATAATCCCTAAGTGTGATGATAATTAAGTCCAAAAATTAAATTCACTTTTCATATTTAATTGTCTTTGTTTCATATATTTTTTAATTATAAACTAATCATTTCACTTATATATATCATTGAGTACTCATAAATTAACTTTTTATGATTAATTTAAACACAAATTTTATAAATAAAAATATTCATATAGTCAAGACTTATAATAAGTCCTACAAACCCAACAAGGCCGAGGGTTTCATCCCCCCAAAAAACATTATAGAGCTCCTAAACTTGCCAATCTAATCTAAGAGTTAAAAATTAACCATGGTTAGCATTTCCAACCAATGAGAATGGGGATTGGGGGTAGTGTGTGGTGAAGCAGATGCTTTGAGGACGAGGAAAACCCGTGGTACAGTCGTATTTTTATGGCTTATATATGTGTGTGTAATTTGTTTTTTGGAAACATTTTTGCCTAGGTGTATTTTTAGGGTTTTTTTTCACAAAAGGTCCATTTTTGGGGATTTTGGGGATTGTGTGAGAAAAGAGGGGCAAAAGCACAAAATAAAATTTCGGTGAAGAAGGTCTGTCCATGGCTTCTCTTCGATTCGATTCAGATTCATCAAACAATACAGTTCTCTCACTTGTTAGGTACTTCTTTCTAATCCAACTTTTGATATTCATATTAGTGTTTCTAGGGTTTCGATTATAGTAATCAAATCAAGGGTTTCGATCGGTGGATTTTAGCTGTTTGAGCTGATTTACATCTTGAATTAGTAGATCTGTTGACTATGGATTCATTTGATTGTAGTTCTGAGGTCATTTGAGCATTCACGCATCAATTTTTCTGAATTAAGTTTCTTAGTTCTTGTTTGTTCATTACAATTTTGTTAGCGAGGGAATCAATTTTGATTTTTGAGTTTAGAGGAGGATAGTGCAAAGAGTTTTTTTTTTTTTTTTTGTTATTTTATTTTTTATAAAGATTTTGTAAATAAACTACTCTTGTTTTGCATTTAAAACTTCCATTTTTCTAAACTCAATTACATATCTCTGGATATTAATTATTATTATGTTTAAAAAATTTCATGTATTTTGTGATTTCAAAGTTGAACCAAATGAACTAGAACAAGCTTAGCTGTTTCTAGAAGTTGATTTAATGTGGTCTCTGTTTTTCCCCATGTATGATTCTGCTAGAGTTTGCTCTCTACTTGGCTTAATTTGTATATCTTTTATGGACTAGGGTTTGGATTGTGCTGGACAGGTAATCTCGTGGAGTATGAGAAAAACCCAGAAATTGTTGAACCAAATACTTGTTGTCTGGGATTTGTTCACTTTTTTAGTTGTGGATTCATTGTAATTATACACACAAGTAAGGCAGCGAAGAAGATTTGTGAAGGCAATGGAGTGCAATAGAGACGAGGCCGTCAGGGCGAAACAAATTGCTGAGAAGAAGTTTATGGCAAAGGACATTTTGGGCGCAAAGAAATTTACTATAAAAGCGCAGACACTATACCCTAGTCTTGAAGGTATTCAACATATGTTAGCAACCCTTGATGTGTATATTGCTGCAGAGAATAGAATAAATGGGGAAGAAGATCGGTATGGGATACTTGGTGTGAATCCGCTAGCAAATGAGGATACGATAAGGAAACATTATAGGAAGCTGGCTCTCATGCTTCACCCCGATAAAAACAAGTCTATAGGGGCTGATGGGGCATTTAAGCTTATTTCGGAGGCTTGGAGTTTGTTGTCTGATAAAGCGAAGAGATTAGCATATGATCAGAAGAGGAATGTTAAAGGTTTTCAGCAAAAAGTTCCACCTGCAAGTGCGGGTACATCAGCACCACCCAGGTCAAATGGGTTCAACAATTTCACCAAAAGTACAACTCCGCATGTGAGGGTTCCGAAGGGTAATACAACTAAGGCTGCAGGTGCATCTCATGGCCCTCCTCCATCTCATAAGCAGAAACCCCGAACCTTCTGGACCGTGTGCCATAGATGTAAAATGCAGTATGAGTATCTCAGAATGTATCTCAATCATAATCTTCTCTGTCCCAATTGTCATGAACCATTTTTTGCAGTAGAAACTGCTCCACCGTCCTCAAAAGGTTATAAAGCATCCACCCAATCAAACCATTCCCAGCAGCAACAGAACACGAATCATCAGGGTGCAAGCAAAAATGTACATTCTGCAGGAAGAAACAACTCGGCCAATCCAAATGTAGGATCAGGGGGGTTCAGTAGTCCTGATTCATCTAATCACGCTAACTTCCAGTGGGCATTCTCTAGAACAGCAGGTGCTTCGTCTGTTGCTCAAGCTGCAACTGTGGTTCAGCATGCATATGAGAAAGTGAAGAGAGAACGTGAGGAGGCACAGGCAGCCACGAAAAGAGAGGAGGCTTTGCGAAGGAAAAATCAAGCTTCTAAGAGAACGGGTGGTGTTTCATCGGCTAATTCTGCAAAAAGAAGAAAAAGTATGGAAGATCATAGCACAATGAAATATGGGAGTTCTGTGAATCAAATGGGCATGGGAAGTGGAGGAGCTGGAATGACAGGCTTGTATGGAGTTAGACAGGGCAATTCTGTACCAGGACTTAATAAGCCTAGGAGTGTACATGATTTATCCCCACTTGAAATTCAGAACTTATTGATGGATAAGACCAGAAAAGAAATTCGCAAGAAACTAAATGAATGGGACTTAGCTACCGTGGCCACATCTGCAGTGAAAAGCAAGGAGAATGTCAATGAGAAAGCAGATGAGGAAGTAAAGGAAAAGGACAATGCCATGGTAAATGGTGCCAAACAGGACAAATGCAAGACTGGCGAGAATGAAAATCTTGTCAATAAATCCACTCATGGAAGTTTGGGTGGTGTCAATGAGAACAAAGAGCCTTTAGAACCAATGTCAATAAATGTACCGGATCCAGATTTTCATGATTTTGACAAGGATCGGACAGAGAGGTGTTTTGGGGAGAATCAGGTATGGGCTGCATATGATGATGACGATGGCATGCCTCGTTATTACGCCATGATTCACAATGTTGTCTCCTTGAATCCATTCAAGATGCGGATCAGTTGGCTTAATTCAAAAACCAACAGCGAACTGGGTCCACTAAACTGGGTTGGTTCTGGTTTTGCGAAAACTTGTGGAGATTTCAGAATAGGCAAACATGAAATCAATAACTCGCTCAATTCTTTCTCACACAAAGTTCGGTGGACAAAAGGTGCACGTGGAGTAGTTTGCATTTTTCCTAGGAAAGGGGAGGTCTGGGCTCTCTATAGGAATTGGACTCCTGAATGGAATGAGCTGACTGCAGATGAAGCAATACACAAGTATGACATGGCCGAAGTACTTGAAGACTATGATGAGGGACTCGGTGTGACTGTTACACCACTAGTCAAAGTTGCAGGCTTTAAGACAGTGTTTCACCAGCATTTGGACCCGAGGAAAGTTAGGAGGATTCCTAGAGAAGAGATGTTTCGTTTCTCTCATCATGTGCCCTCGTACTTGCTTACTGGTCAAGAAGCTCCAAATGCTCCAAAGGGTTGTCGGGAGCTAGACCCTGCAGCAACTCCTCTGGAGCTTCTTCTGGTAATACCAGATGTTAAGGAAGAAGACATTGTAGGGGATGAAAATGAAGAGAATGCTAAGGTAGAAAAGGTGGTTGATGATGTTGGAAAACCTAATAATGAAGAAACAGAAGAGAATTCCAGTAAATTTAGTGAGAAGATATCAGGGAATAAAACAAGAGAGCCTGAGGAAGTAGAAATTTTGGAAGATAGCTGGGAAAGGAGGGAAGACGAGAAAGTAAATTCTACTGAAGTGAAGATAGACAGTTGAATTTTGGATTATCTGTTCTAAAGTGGATGTAATTTATTCTCTTTGGACTAAAATTGGTGGAACCGATTACTGTTCTTGGATTTCATGCCCATAATGTTGGAACCATTATCACATTGGATAATCTGAATCACTTCAGATAATCCTAACCTCAAATTTATCTGCAACTTTGAGGATTTTTGGAAGTGGAAGCACAAAATTGTCCTCAGTGCCAACACAACTTGCGCTTGAGGATCTGTAAGGTAGGATTGTATATACTTCTTTCAACTTATTGTCCTTCAAAGAAGATTTCTTTATCAGTTGAAGTGCACCAATACAAACCCTGCCCACCCGTGGCCACACTTTTCACACCCAAGAGGGCACTAATTCCTTAATTTCCCTTCTTTTTTCTTTTTTTGAAAAACAAAAGAACTGTTGTTACATTGCATGGTCGCTTACTTTTGTCTTTGAAGTTGTATCATTGTTTGTGATTAGACTTCAAATAATAGTGTAGCATAGGAGTTTATTTCAGTTTATTGCTCGGTCATGCTCAAGTTTTTGTTGCTTGTGTGGAAGTACTACTCTTTATCTTCTTTCTCAAATGTGCAATGCTAAGAATCTGATGTTAAATACTGCTAGTTGACAATTATGGTTCAGAGGTTTCTTGTCTCTGCTTCATTCTCTCTCTCTTCCCAAACAGGAAAGACAGACTTTTGGAATTTTTTTCACTTACCCAGTTCATATTGGATCTGATCTATCATATATCAGTGATTGAGTTACCCAATTTTTTAGGACTTGGCCAAATTTTTCATGGGTAAGTTAATACTAAGAATTTTGCCATCCTTGAGGCCTGAAGTTCTGCTTCAATACTAAGAATTATGCCAATGGATCTGCAGAAGCCCACCGTCCTATTGCCATCATGATTCCTAGTGAGGCTGTCACCACTAAGCCATGTCTCTGTTTTTCCTTTAAACAAAGTCTGTAATTTGTTGGACCTGTATTTTTTTATTTATGTTTTTTTTTTTTATATTTATTTCGTGCCTCCCACCACTCCACCCCTCCTGTCCCCCAAAATATGTGGGCCAATAAAAAATTGGAAAAATAGGTAGAAGGGGCGTTTCTAATTTTTTTGTGTTTCATATTGCTATTCTCTTTTTTTTTTTTTTGTCCTTTTCTTTTGTGGAGAGAATTTCGAACAAATTGTATTAATTTACTATTATACATAATTCATTGGTTGACATAGAAACAAATTTATTCTAAGGTTACGTAAGTATTGGTGGTGGGTTGAAACTATAAAATTAGTCAGTTGGTATATGAAATTAAAATTGCCTACTCTAATTTTTCTCAAACTATACCGTAAAGAGTCTCGTTCAAAAAAAAAAAAACAATTTCAAGATCTATAGTATAAAATGACGAGGAAATCAAGTATATTATGACTCGGAATGACACATTTTGCTTGATTCATGTAAAATGATTAGGAAATCAAGCATAATATGATTCGAAATGACAGTTTTTGCATAATCATGCCAAAGATTAAAAAATTGACATATAATGTAGAAGGTTTGGAAATTCTCAATTTTGTTCAAACAATAGAAGATTTCATGGGTTTATTTTTTTATTAATTTCTAAAGATATTTTCAAAAAAAAAAAAATTTCTATAAAATTTACCATTAGTAATAATCTACTATTTCAACTTTAAAAAGGTTTGGATGGGACTCATTTTGGAGATTGTTTGGTTAAGGAGACTTTTTCCCTCTCCCAGTTTGTTAAGTGATGATTGGTTTGGAAGTGGACATTTTTAATGATTTTTTTTAATTAAAATATAAGGTAAAAAATTAAATTTTATTTTTAAAATTTTAATAAAAAAATAGAAGAAATATTTTTAAATTTTTTAAACCTTTTTTGTGAATTTTTAAATTAAAATTTGATGTTTTCAAATGCACTCAAGAGTTTGTTTGGCATGTTGAATTTTTTTATCCTTCTAATTTTTTAGATTATATTATCTCTCTGTTTTTCTGTAAATTTTTTCATAACAATTCAAAAGTTATATTTAGAGATTGCTTGAAATGATTTAAATAAATATATTTTTTTATTTTTATGAAAAAAATACAAAAAAAAAATTTAAATTATGATATAATCCAAATAAATATACTTATATAAATAAGTACACTTATTTAATTTATGTCAAATAATGTCTTATTATGATCCTTCCAAACAGCCTTTAAATTATTATAATTTTTCCGGAATTACACCTCTAACCCCACAAGGAGTCCTACGTGTATCAAAATCAACCAACCATTGCATGACACGTATCCTATCTACGTGTTTCCGCCAATCACGACAAAGTCTATGACATATGGGTCGTCCATTCTCAACTGCATATATACATGTATGTATGTATATACACGGGTAGGTTTTTAATCCAGTAAAAATTGAAGAAATTTCACGAGGGAGAGAGAGAGAGCATTGCCGGAAACGGTGGGAAGAGAGCAGCGAATCACGTGAAAATTCTCCGGCGCTTCGTTTCCGGCCACCTGATCTCCGCCGTAAATATGGTAATTTTTCATGCTTTGTTGTTTTCTGGAAATCTTATATAGCTTGCATTTTGTTGTTTTTGTTCAATTTGAAAGTTAATCATCTACGAATTTTAAACCATGATCTCAAATCTCTCTTGTAATAAATTTGATTGTTTGAGCCAACATTTTTTGCCATTTATTAACGAAATTGTGGAATGGGGGCAATCAAATCATCTGCAAACCCTAAAATGATTTTTTTCTTTTTTTTTTAATTATTATTTATTTATGTGTATATGAGTTTTCTTCCCATGCTGGTCAGGAGAGAGAGAATGAATGATGAATGATATTGTGCCATAAATGGCATTTTTCAATTTGATTTGTTTCAATGTTGGTTATAAAACTGTCACTCCCACATTGTCGTTGTGTGTGATATTAATTTGATTTCTCTATAGTTGTTGCAATTCTGGACATTTCTTTTATTCTTATATATTGGCACTAAAATACTCTTCCTCCACTCCTCTGGTATTTTCCTAGTCAACAGAATCTTGCTAAATAACCTAACCAACCAAACAACCCCCCTTCTTACCCAAACATTTCACGCTTCAATAGGTATATTTTCTACAGTGGTTTCCGCATTAAAATGCCTGGAATTTCAATAGAGAATAAGTTTGCGATGACATTTTTGGAAATTAAGATCCATCTTGGTATTGTTTTGAAATAAATATTCTCGATTCAACCACATCATTATGTACAAAAATTCTACGTAACTTCTCTGTTTGTATAGGGTCATTGTAGTTCTTATTGTTGTAATATCATCAATGTCATCATTGTTAATATCCTGTACTAATGGGGAAGATGCAAAGATTCTTAAGCTATATTGGATCTCTTGAATTTGGAGAGAGATTTGTGGCGTGAAAATAATAGAACAGAAAAATGCTAAAAAAATTAACTTATTTTTCATTTACCTTACTTTTTTTTCATTTCTTTTTTCACAAATCCCTTTTCAAATCCAAAATCCAAGCATAAGTGAATAACTTTTCAATGCATCTCAATATTAAACTTGTTAATTGTACGACTGCAAATTAATTGATGGAAGAAAGATAGGTAATTCTTATCTTACACACAAGAAAATTTAGGATGAATTTGGTGGCTCAATATGGTTGATCCTACCATCAATGTAGTTTCTTTGAAGAATGTGTGTCAAGATTCTTTCAAATGCCGAAAATGAACAAGAAAGGTATTATGTGCACTCATGTACTAGCAGCTATGTAGCATTCCTTTTAACTTCAATTGTTTCCTGTTTGGTCATTGTGTTGCATTTGATTGAGATGCCAATGTACACCCCTTATATTTGATTTCAATGCATCGAGTTCTTGAATCATTTGCATTTTAAACAATGACACACAGTTCTGCCCATTTGGTTGATTTTCGTCTTTTGCCTAGTTTGATAGAGTGAAATTCTCCCTCTTCCATATAATGTGGGCATTCCCTTGTTTGACAATATTGGTTTGAATTGCATAATTGCAGACAACATCAAGGCGTCTTGCAGATAGGAAGGTGTCAAGGTTTGAGAAGAACATTACCAAGAGAGGAGCCGTGCCTGAAACGACTACAAAAAAGGGAAATGACTATCCTGTTGGCCCTATTCTCCTCGGCTTTTTCATATTTGTTGTCATTGGATCATGTAAGATTCTCCTGTAGTTCCCATCTGTCTTATATCCTTCTTATTATTGTTCATATGTTCACTTAATTCTGAATCAAGCATCAATGTTTATGGAATCTTGGTTTTCAACATACTATGAAAGTCTTTCCACTCTTGGATTGGTTCATGAGTTCATATCTATGTATGTTACTTAGATCATGGATCGTTCTTGGAATGGAAAATGAAACGTGGTGCGTCATATGTTCTAAATAGTGATACAATTAAAGTAGAATTGTATATGTTATAAATAGTGATACGATTAGAGTAGAATTGTATAGATTACACTAATGGAATTTAAGATAGTTCTAGAATAATTTACTTTACACTATTAGACATCGAATAAATTTAGGGGGTTTTTTTCCCTTCTTTTTCTTTCCAAATTAATCATATAACAAAACATTTATATGACCATTATAACCATATAACCCATTTTTTTATGCTTTGTACTGCAAAACTCTGCTCTTCGAGTCTTTGTAGATTACGTGTTTGATTTGATGGGTTTCTGATGCCATTTTTTCATTTATTCCAGCTCTGTTTCAGATGATCAGGACAGCAACGAGTGGAAACATGGGTTAAGCAAATGTTGTTATATTGTAGCAAATGGCTACTTTTTGTAATGTGCAACTTTTTTGGATAACATACATACATAATAGACTTCGAAATTGAGCTTTCATTTACAATACTATAGAGGTTGTTGATCATGCTGTGGAAAGTTTGAAAATGAAATAAAACCTTCCTAGACTCTTCTCCATCATTGGCAATTCTCATTTCTTGTTTTACAAACCAACAATGCACACTTGCACATTGGAAAAATTATTCAATACTCTTTTTTTAATACTATTGAAGCAAGTATAGGCGGTGTACTTCAAATTATTCATGTTATGACTTGTATAAAAGAGGGAGATTGGATTAGTTATAATTCATTTATACGACATTTGATTGTACAATTTGATAACGGGTAGTGTGGCCGGATTGAACACTATAACTCACTACAATTGGATTAAATTGTGAGTGAACATTGGGCTCTTTCCAACGTAAAAGGCTTTAAAGACGAACTACTATACAAAATGAGGATTTGACTAAGAAAGATTGAAGATCCACATAAGGGAATTATCGATTGAAGCTCCACACGAGGGAATTATTAAAATGTGTTTGATTCATTAAAAATTTATTCAAAATTAACTCATTATGTAAATAGGATAATACTATATGCATCAATTAGTATACTAACTAGTGTATCAATTAATAATGTGACAAAATTTAAGATGTTTTTTATATTTGTAATTTGTATAATGAATAAAATTAATAATAATGTCATAATTAATGTTGGTACACTAATTAATACAGTAATTAATGCATGTAGCATCATTCATGTAAATATGTCAAATTTAAATAAATTTAAAATCCCATTTTCTATTTGTCTTGATAAACTTAATCGCATTATAAAAAATTGAGTTACTCAAATTAGGTTCACTTAAAAAGTAAACAAGTCAAACTCGAATACGTTTTTGAAACACACAAGACTGGGGAGCAATCATCGCTCACCAATCAGAAAACAGGAAATTGGAAGCATTTTGTTTTCTGAAATTAAAGTTCACGCTTAAATATTTGTACAAAGAAGGAAACATTATCATCATAGATTTCATAGTCTTCCCTAGGATCATTTACTTCATCATCATAGAATAAACTTGGGCTGCAGACAACGTACTAGCAAAAGCTTGCACAGCCAATTAAGCATAAAGCCATACCAGAAACAAGGGTAATTGCTGAATCAAGCTGAAGCTGTCAGGCAAGGATGAAATGCGGTGCCACAAGCGATCCACTGACGCTTCCTCCCACGTGGCACCATACAGCCGGGAACCTTCATCCATTCCCCACTCAACATATCGTATGCAACCAATCGGTTCATTTGTCTTGATCTCAACGACAACATGAGTAAACCTTTGTTACCCAAGCAAATCATTCGAACGTGCTTTCCGTAAAACTCCAAGCACCATATGTTTGGCATTCTGTCAACCTCCTTCCACAGTAGAGTCATCTTCTGCAGCTCCCATATGCACACGCATGTGGCAGCATTCTTTGTCAGCAACCCCACCAGCATGATTCGCCCCCCACATTCTGCGAGTGTCTGATCGCTCAGATGTAGTGGAGCTGGAATTGCAAACTGCTTCCAAATTCCAGTATCCATATCGTAGGACACAATCCCCTCAGGGTCTGAACGCATGAAGTAAAGCATGCCATCAATGGACACCGCTTGGGACCTGAAGTTCAGTGACAACGGCAGATTAACAGTGAAAGGCATGGTTCCGGGATGGGCCCAAGAGTTTTTTATCGAGTCATAAACTTCGTACTCACCATCAGAACCTACCCAGAGGATCTTGTAGCCGCCACTTGTCGATTCCCGATTCAAAGTCATCCCTACAGCGACTCGAGACCAGACCTTAACTGACCTAGATGGAAGTTCCTTGAAAGATTGAGTAAGAGGGTTGCATACATAGAAGCTCCTATGGCCAATATCGAGAAAGCATACAAGACCCCCAGCTGAAGCCACTGGCAAGACAATTACCTTTGTTGGCAATGCCGGGATTATAGGGTGGTGCCATTTTTTCAAGGATGGGTCATACATGGCTCCAGTATTCACATTTTCGTGGGTGATGGTGTAAAACCAAGGCTGGCCTTGTGGGACTTGTGCACATTGTTGGGAGAAACTGTGAGAGGTCAGCAAAGAGTTCCACTTCCTACAAACTGAGCGGAAGCGGAAGAATGTGGTGATGGGGAGTCTTGCAATGACAGCTTCGAAAAGGTCTTCGGGAAATTCTTTCCAGATTGGCTGTTCCATGTTTTCAGTATAACTAGTAGAATCGGGTAATCTATCCCGATTCCGCTCTTTCCGAGATCTCTTTGCAGGTGGAGGCTTGCCAGGTTCTAGCATCTTGAAAGTTTTGGATTTTTCAGCCCTCATTATGAAACTGTAATAACCGTCTTCTGCAGGGTTATCATCAAGATTGAAGAAGCACCATCTGTACAAAATGCAACCATGCCATTCAGGACTTGGAAACCTCGTAACAATTTGCTACAAATTCATGGACATAAGAGCGTGCACACAAAAAAAGCTGAATGATTATACACGACACATGGATAAAACAAAACAATACAATCTTAAATTGAAATATCATCTGTTAGAGACCTGTTAAAACGTTGTCATCCAGTATTAATTGCACCACCTAGCAATGGCGGAATCAGCACAAAACTTACACAGTCAACACATTCTTCAAAAACTATAGCAGTATTACCTTGTCATTTTCGATTTCTTACCATTAGCCATGCCTTTTCAGCTCTAAAAAACATAGCTATAAGATATTTGGTTTGTAATAAATGCTTCTAGATTTCTGATGCATTATGGAAAAGCATGGTGGGATTAGAGTACAAGGAAGATGAGGCAAAACAAAATCTGCAGGCAAAACAAAATCTGCAAATTAAGATTGAGTTGCTTAAACAGAACGGGGATAAGACATAGCACTACCAAATTTATGATTATTTTTATGGAAATGGCCATGACATGTCAATATTTGGATGTCAAACAAAATGCTAAAGGTTCACTTAGCTTTGACTAAATTGGACACTTGCATAATTGCATATGCAAAATAGATTTTTTCAAAACCATCTCACCAGAAGGATGACATGATCACTGAAACAATGTCTTTGCTTTTAACACAAAATTTAAACAAAATTCCGACCCCACAATTTCAAAGTAAAACAGAATGAAATTTAGTAATTTTAATAATAATAAGACGTGCACGATGTAAAAGAGACCCACTTTTATCGTAATTATTATTCCTCTAATTCATGATTTATTCCAGCCAATCAACATACAAGTTTAGACTCTGGTTACAATTCGTGGTAGCCGACAAGCATCAAATTCAGGTAACGAATTATAAGAGAGGCCTAACATCATCTTTGAGTTTCAAAACTTTTATCTGAGCTTCAAAACTTTTATCTAAGTCCATGAGCTATATGTCCCATTGAACCTTAGCCGCCCTTACATCATTTCTCTCCAACAATTTTTCCCTCGCCATCTGACCCATACAGAGTCTGACTGGGGTTGATGCAAAAGCCAAATAGATCTCTGACCATTGCTACTCTATTCTAGTCTCTCGCCTTTTTTTATCCCTAGGACCCCTTCTTCCTTGAGGAGATTGACCTTGTCCAAAGTACTCTAGCCCCTGTATTTTTCATCTCAACTCCTTTCCAGAAGAAGGCTCACAACTTTAACTCACTTTTCTTGGTAACGTTAACTAGCAGAATGAAAAGCCTTCTCCAATAAACTTGTATGCTAAATGGAACAATATTTATTAGTTGAAGTCTCCCTGCATACGATACAAATTAATTTTTCAAAGATTTCATCCATAGCGTCATTCCCTCCACCAAACCTTTACAACCCTCAGCTTTTAACTTTGTGGATATTAGAAGAACCCCAATTGGAAAAATTACCCTATTGGAAGCTAAAGCATTGTCCCATGTGCAAGAATGCCATCCACACTAGACACAAATATATCACTTTTGGAATTATTTGGCAGAAGCCCTAGACCAGAAGTAAACACTGTATTGGCTGGATAAAAATTTCAGTATGCAATCAAGTTATACAGTTGAGACAATTTACTGCCACTAATCATAACAGCTTCTTGCAGAAAACTTGAAACTAACCTTGCACTATTATCATATCAAGTGAAGTAACCAATAGAGATGCGATATTTATTACAGATACGCGACGTATTATCAGCTGTGAATATGGACTGCTGTGACCGCATGCCTTTTGGAAGTGCTCGAGGTTGTAGATTGGAAGGAAACTTTCTTTTGGATGCTAAGGTGGCTGCTCAGAGTGTAATTTGTGCTCTGCTCCTGATATATCGACAAATAGGCTGCTGGAGCTGTGTCAAGTAGCTCCTGCTGTTGTTGCTGTCAATGGTAGCCCAGTTTTGAAGGTGGGACGGTGGTTTTGTTCAAGACTTAATTAGGTTCCTGTCATTTTGTTTTGTAACCCAGTATATAGGTGGTCCTCAAGACAGCCTTGAATAGCTTGGGGTTTGTCCTCGTAGATTGTACTCTTTTTTCTTTTTTCTTTTTTCTTTTTTCTTTTTTTTAAATATAATCTTACTTACCGGAGAAAAAAATAAATCAAATTCAGTTAGGTGTGTGCTTCTAATTGCAGGCAAAACAGCCATCAGATTGAAAATTTTGCTTGCAGAACATAAGATGTAATAATCAAAACCATGCTTGCATCCACACAAGCTATATTTTAATTTTAGGGTCTTGCACTTGCTAGCTAATGACAACCTAAGGGCAGTCAATAAACAACACAAAAATGTCAAAATATTTATAGTCGTAATACACTTTTCACATATTCCAAAATGATTTTTTTTTTTAATTTTAGTTACGATTTTTTTTTGTGTTTGGTTATAATTTTTTTTTATTATTAATTATGATTTTATTTTTTTTAAAAAAATTTAGTTACGATTTTTTTTTGTGTTTGGTTATAATTTTTTTTTTTTATTAATTATGATTTTAAAAATATAAAATTATGTCATTTTTCATAATTATAAAGTGTATATGATCCACAACTCCCAAAATAAACATATGAGCAAGAAAAAAAAAAAACTTCTGATGAAACTCATTAAATTGATAGGGAAAATGATAAATTAGTCCCAGAACCTCCCTCAACTAACAATTTAAGAAATAGAAGATAGAAAACAACATGAGAAAATTATCAGAAACATCAAAGTGACAGTACACAGATACATGAACATTTATATATATTTATATATATAGAGAGAGAGAGAGAGTTAAAATTAGGCTCGATTAATCAACCAAAAGCAGAAAATGCAAGAACACGGAAAATGCTACACAAGGAATCGAAGCAAAAATTCGAAATTGGTGAATATAAAGGCAACAGAAACTAAAACAAAGAAGCATTTTGATTAAACCAGAAAACGTAATAAGAACCAAATTGAAGACACGAGAACAAAACGTTCCTAACAATCCTCCATTTTGAAGCAAAAGCAACAACACAGATCCACCAGCAAACAATTATATATATATATATAGAGAGAGAGAGAGAGAGAGAGAGAGAAAAGTAGAGAGAGGGAAGGAACAGAGACCCGTGTTGTTGTTGTTGTTGTTGTTGCTGCTGCTGGTGCGGCGGCGGCGGCGGTGGTGGTGGTGGTGGTGGAAGTAGTTGAGTGTGAGGTTGAAGATGAAGATAGTGAAGAGGAGGAGAACCGTAGAGTTCAAAGAGCTCTTGAACTTGACCGATAAGCTGCCTCAGCATGGCCAGCCCTTCCATGCCCCACTCGCCGAGGCCCTTCTTCTTCTTCTTCTTCTTCTTCTTCACCTCCTCTGCTCCGCCTCTCTCTCGCTCTCTCTCTCACTAAACACTTTCTCTCTGTACTCTACACATATTTGTCTGTCTCTATCTTTCTCTTCTCTTGGTTATTAACCATTCCCCTTTTTCCACGTCACTAGGCCATACGTTAATAAGTAGTATTGACTGGTACGCTACTTTTTTCTCTCCTAATCAATGATGATGGTGAACTTTTTCCGCATTTTCCTAAAATACCCTTTCACAGTGTTTTGGATAAAATGGGATTAGAGCATCTCCAACGGTAATAGGCATTTTACCTATCTAAATATTACTATAAAGTATATATTTTATTTTGCCTATCGACTGTTTTATGTTTTTATTCCAACCATGCTCTTTATTTTAGCTATTTATCCAAATATTATTAATTTTATAGAATGCCACGTCAACAACAAAGATGGAGGGAAATGATCCTAGTGATTGAATACATTTTGCCTAGTATTGAAGGCTAGCTACATGTAGCTAGTGAATATGAGTCGAGAAAAAATGCCTAATCATATGCCTAGTGCATTGAAATTGAAAAAAGTGAATCACACTAGGCATTTTAACTAACAAGTATTATATGCCTAGTGCATTGGAGATGCTCTTAAAAAAAAAAAATTTGTTAATTTTGTTTTAATTGTGAGTTAGTTGTCAATTTCTAGTCTTTGGACGGCAACTACCAATAATAGATTTAGGACTTTGAGTTCACGTTTGCTAATTGGTCGCAATAATTAAAAGGTTAATTTATTTTTTTACATATTTTTTAAAAAAAATCATTAAAAAAAAATCAATTTGAAAATCAAACACAACAATGGATGACAGATTGGCACAACCCAAACTTGGCTAATTATCTAGTTTTTTGATATTTCTATTTATGGTGGTAATGAACGCTCCAAACAAAATATTATAGAGAAAGTATAAAATTAGTTGCACAAACACAATTACGTAATACTTTTTGAAATTAAGAGGTTGTTTGAAATAATATAAATAAATATTCTTTTTAACTTTTTATAAAATATAGACTGAGTTTGAAGTGATATGGTAGGATGTAATGTGACTTAAATAACACGATGTGATTTAAATAGGATAGTGACTTTTTGACTTTTTAACTTCTTTAAGGGATGTCAAACCAAGCTTAAGTGTGTATTTGACATGTATTAAAAAAGTTTTTTTTTTTTTGCATACATATACTTATTTGGGTTACATTAATCAATATCTATCAGCATCTCCTTTCTATTTTTTTATCTACTTTCTCTACTTTTTTACATTTTTTCTTTATAAAAAGTCAAAAAATATATTTATTTAAAACATCTCAAACCATCTCACTTTTCAGGTATGGCTATATTAGATAGTTTTTTTAAAGAAAAAAACAATTAAAACAAAAATAGGTTAATATTTTGTAGGTTTTTTCAATAAATTTTGACTTAATTTCAATTGTTTTGAATTTTGAATTTTTTTAAAACCTAAAAATTATTTAATTTTGACTAGAAATGATTTTTTTCTCGAAAAATTATTCCCCTGAATCCCCTGAATCTGAAAAAATCGAAAGCAAGAGAGAGAGATGGAGAAAGAGAGAGGAGAGGAGAGAGGGAATCAGAGGGAGAGAAGAGAGAAGAGGGAATGGAGAGAGAGAGAGAGAGAGGGCCCCTCTGATCGTCGCAGCCCCGCCTCCAACCGCCGTCGCCTCCGGCCCCACCTCCGCCTCCAGCCCGATTTTATTGGCCCCCTCCCCTCCAGTTCTTCTTCTTCTTCTTCTTCTTCTTCTTCCTCTGATTTTCTTCTTCTGAAAAAAAAAAAAAAATTCAAAAACAACATCGTTTTTCGAATTCGGGGAGCTCAAATTCGAGCTACCAATCGCTACTCAATTTTGACAACCCTAAAAAAATTTGGAAGCTAAGACATAATTGTCAATACTCATTTTAAACGTTTGAGAATGACTAGTCTAGGATATGGAGAAATAACTAGAAAGAGTATTCTTTCACTTAATTAACTTTGTGTGTCCATCTTATTGCTCAACCTTCATTATTATTTTACTATAACTAGATAAATTTCCAAATCATTAGCATAGATTTGGTTTGCCTTAGCAACACAAAACTTATCCATTTTTATGGAATTGGAAAACTTTAGCATAGATTTGGTTTGCCTTAGCAACACAAACTTATCCATTTTTATGGAATTGGGAAACTTTAGCATAGATTTGGTTTGCCTGAGCAACACAAACTTATCCATTTTTATGGAATTGGGAAAACTTTAAAGGAAAATCACAAGCATACACAATATTTATACAAAAAAATCATACAAAATTATGTGACAATAGCACTTACTAATTTGGCTTTTATTTTTTTTCTCTAAATAAATTTAAATAAGTCACATCATTTTTTGTGTACACAATTATCCATCTAAAAATCATGCATTTAACATGGATATTGACGACTATTTTTTTATTACAATGAATTCCATTATAATGAATGACAATCGAGGCAATAATTGTAGTGTAAAAAACTTTTTGTGTGTGTCGAAAGCAAGTAGATATAAAAAATATATACATTATGTAAGGGACATATTCTAAAGTATAATAAAAAATTAAGATAACAAGAATATAAACTAATAAATTTATAGTATAAAATGTATTTGCGAAAAAAATTATTGTGGTGATGCCACAAGCAAATCTCAAATTGTCATGATCTTATGTTGTCTCATCAATCACTAAATTATAATTTATTTTGAATATTTTAGTCATATTTATGAAGTACAATATAATTTTTACTATGTTTATGGTATAACACCTACAAATATGATACTGAATAATTTAATCAATTTGGTGGATATTGATGACTCATTCAATGTAAAAGCTGTATATGGGAAGTTATTACAACATTCGTAGAGCTTGTAGTTGTAGAACTTGGTGGTCCACTCTGATACGCATAGTTAATTTATTAGTACATGTTCTTTAATGCAACATACATACCTCGAGCTTGGGCATCTTAGTGGAACTCAAGGTTGTATTGTAGCTGTCCAAATTTACTTTTACAAATTTAACTAATTTTAATTATTTTATTTTAATAGATCTTATTTTAAATATTAAAATTTTATTATTACAGATTTCCCTCAGTTATTGCAATACCCACTAATTTATAAAGAAAAATTCTAGAATTTTGAAGAGGGTAAATTACATACATTAAAATCTTTTAAAATTTAGAAAAAAAAATATAATAATTCACAGTTTTGATATAATTATATTGATATTCTTTTTATTAAGACTGATGCATCCGAACTAGTGCAAATGGTATGAAGTCACAATAATAAATAATAAATATTTATCGTATACAAAAAAGATAATAATATGCTTTTTTTTCATCCATATAATTAACGAATTATTGATGAAAATTGGATTTGTAATTTACTTGTTTTAGTAGTTTTTTTTTTGTTTTTTTTTAATAGTGCTTCTACTTACACAACACTTTTGCCGCATTACAAACCTCATTTTCATAATTTTTTTTTATTACCATTTTATCCTTTTACAAGATTACCAATTGATCTTTGAACCCTAAAAGTTGAACACACAACTTTCTCACCCTACCTACCACTCTCCATCACTTACTATCTCACCTCCGGCAGCCCTCTCATACCACCGATCAACTCCCTTTCCTTCTTGCGAATCGCGACCACCTCCAACTCCTTTTTTCCTTCTCCTTCTCCATCTCCTCCCCATTTGCCAAATCCTAGATTTCAAACTTCTCTCTCTCTCTCTCTCTCGCAATGTGGAGGATATGGGGGTTTCATGGGGTAGTTCATGGCAATGGAGATGGGTTGTGGTGGAGACAGGTCGCTACTGGAAGGAAGATCGCGGAAAAAGATGCATTAACGGAGGTAAAATAACCGAAAGAGAGTTGTAGCGCTGGCGTCGACATATGAAAGGTCCAGAAAGATGATCGTAGCAATGGGATGGGAGGTCATGGTGGTTGTGAGAAGAACCGGAAAAGAAGTAGCGGTGATAGAAAGAGATCATCAGTAGAGAGGGACAATGGATTGGCCACCAAAGATAACAGCGGTGGTTGTTGGAGTTGGTAATTAGGGTGGGTAAAATTAGGGTTTGAAAGTTTGAGGGTTTAAACTTTAAAGATGAAAGTATAGTTGGTATTATGAAGATTGTATGGAGATATAATCAAATTTTTGTATGTACTGTAATTAGTGTAAGGAGATATTTTAGTTATGTAAATAGGAAAAAAAATTTCCCCATTAAATTTGTGTGTTTATGACTAACGTGTCCCTGCTATATGGGAGCGTCTTTAGATAAGCTAGTGTCTAGGTTCTACATAAAATTAAAAAAATATTATAAGTGAGAGGATGAGACCATATTGAGTCATCATAACATCACAACTACTTCAAGCAACTTGTAAGTCATGTTGAGTTTTTGTTTTCTTTGTTTTTATTTTTAGTAAATTTAGGTGTATAGAAATTAAACGCAAAATAAGACATAATTTACATGTGAAATTTATTGGGATTATGTCTCATTTTGTTTTTGATTTCTGTATTCCTAACATTATTATTGTTCTATTTTTTCTCATATTTTTAAAAAAGAAAAAGTAAAGTATCATTATTTTCAACAAAAATGGTTTTCAAAAATCAAAAAATAATTTTTGTATTTTTTTGAAAATGAATGTTTTTAAAAAAAAAGTTCTTGAAATTTCAAAAATAGTTCACCAAATAAATTTTATACAATTTTTTTTTTTTTTGTGGGACCCATTTTTTCAAGATTTTGAAAATGTCAACAACTTTCGGTCCAAAACTTCAAATTGTGAGCATAAAAAGTGAAGCCTTTATAAAAAAAGGTTGCATAAGATGCCATTTGATCGATGGTTACATTAGGTGCAGTTAGTTGAAGTTAATTTTTGTCATCAAATATCATCAAGTGGAACCCACAATTTGTTGACCAGGTTAAATTTGTAATTTCGATTTAAGTGTGAGGGCAATAAGGTAAAATAATAATGTACAAAAGAATAATAATAAGGTAGAAGAATAATGATACAACAACTTTTCGTATTGTTAAGTGCTTTAAAATACACTCAT